CCTAAACCCTATAAATCATAAACCCTAAACCGTGGCTTAGCATCGAAGGGGTGTGATGGGTAGCTTTGCTTCTCCTTTGGCCGAAGGTCGGTTTTTTGTTGGAAATGAAGACTTCGTGCATATTTCTGGCATTTAGGGCCAGTTTAGGGTTTAGGGNNTTAGGGCCTGGGTTTAGGATTTAGGGCCTACGGCTTTAAAGTTTATGGTCTTAGGGCAGTGCGGCTTTGAGGCTCAGGGTGATGAAATCAACCATCGACCCGGAGCCCTAAAGCCACGGAGGGTTTAGATTTTAGGGTTTACCCTGAACCCTATACACCTAAACCCCAACCATAATCCCAAAATACTGTGGAGCTGTTGCACTTGGGCCTATGCAGTCCGTGCCGGCATTTGGGGAACATCTTGGTGCCCGATGACTCTTTAGATGAGCTCAACGGATGTCTTGAGGGTTCAACATTTCAGGGGCTCAGGGTGCAGGGCTTAGGTTTTAGGGTTTAGGCTTTAAGGTTTAACTTTCGGGTTGAGAGCCTGGGAGTTGCGAGAGACGATGGAGGGTCACACGGTTTACGGTTTAGGGTTTTACAAAACAACCTCCTCACGACAAGTCTCAAGAACTCCCTTGGGAAGTGGTTGCAGTGAGCCCTCTTCGAACCGGGCGTCCCTTGTTGTCTGAAATCTGAAACCTACTTATTCGCAGGATTCACATGGTGTCGGGCTATTCAAGCTGGAAATCAGCTGCCTTCGGGCATCTCCATTATCTCCCAGATATCAGACTCGCAAAAGGGACTTGACTTACCTGCCCCACTCCGCAACACCACAAAACACACATAGACCTGGAGACACACACACACACACAACTAAGACCCCCCCACCCCCCCNNAAAAAAAAAAAAAAAAAAACTGCCCCAGAATTGAATCCAAGGTGTCGAAGCGGGGCAGTGCTCATGGACAGCATGTGCCAACTCGTGGTGGCAGTCCGCATCCTGAATCTTTCGTGGTCCGGGGAGTGGTTGCATTTTGGTGAGCTGAGGGTGTGTATCCAACCTAGGGGTTAGGGTTTAGGGTTTTAGTGGGAGCTGTGATATATTCTGAGGATGCAGGGCATCTAAGGAGGACAAGTTAGCAATGCTTCAACTTATGTACCTTGAGTAGGAGTACCAATCTAGTTGCTGCATTCTTTGGCCCGCCTAACGCAGAAAAGCAAATTTGGTAGCGGCAGGGGCTGCGTAGCGGAATAAAGCTTAAACCCTCGGCATGGGTCTCCGAAGCAGTCGTTATGGGCACGAAACGAGAAATCTTACCCCGGCAAGTAGAACCCGACTGCCCTTGAAAGGTATAGAAGCGCAAATCGTGTTTATGGTTAGGATAGCAGCCAAGAAGGCTTGCGCACCTCCGGTCTCCGGCACGAAAATTACGCTTTGGCATGCACATGGATACTTCTCGTTATTTGCTTGCCTTTTGGGACCTCCCAACCAAGAACGCGCTCTTAGTCCCACGGTTACAGGACACAGTACACCCTAAACTCCGAAACCCAAAAGCCGAACCGAAAGCCCAAGCGCAAAGCCAAACCATAAACCCTAAACCCTAAACCTCAAACCCTAAAGCCTCGAAAGCTCTAGACCAGACCCGATATCCTTCAGACTGTCCATAGCCCCACTTGGAGGAGCAGGGGACACACGAAATGGGCTACGAGTACTGTCACAAGTACCCCAACGGAGGCTATGTGTAATGTTCCTTCTGACTGACTTGCTGTGCGCTGACCCTAAACCCTAGACCTGAACCCTAAACCCCCGTATAATACTATAATACATCCGGTTTGTCTGCAAGGATTTACGAAGTAGCTGAAGCGAGGTGGGGCCCGAAATTGGGCTCACGTTTTTAGGTTCATGGCCTTCTTACAGCCAAAAACACTCCGGGTAGCATCATACTGCAAGGGGCTACGAGGTGTTGGGAATAGCTATTCTAGGAGCTATTCCGACCCGTATATATACTACACTCTCAATGCTCCTTAGTATGACTTCCGTATGCATGTCCTTGACAAAGTAAGATGCTTGGGCTACGGCTCGGGGCCTCAGTGTTATGTGGGGAACCCTAAAACTTATAACCCCTAAAACCCTAAACCTGACGTTGTTATGCCGTGTTTGCTCCTAATTCAGGAGCTTCCGAAAATAATGGACCCTTGTTTTACGGATCTGCAATACAACAGCCTTTAAACACAAAGGTATATGTACCCCTAAGCTTCAGGAATCTCATGTCTTTGTTCAGAATCAATTGACAGATTTACAGATTTCCATGAACCTTGGAAAGCCTAAACATCAAGGCTCAAATCAATTCCCTGTAGTTTACTATCGCTTTTGGGCCTAAGGTCTAGGGCTCGTCGAGAGACATGACTCGCACTCTTCCGACGCGCCTTCATCCTCATGCGCTCTGTCATGAACTTCTGCTGGCACTGGATCATGTTTCCAGGGTTCACATCCTCGGGCGAGAGCCGACCGTCATGTTCGAGGTCTCTGAGTTTAGGGTTTACCCATAGGCCCTAAAGTAGTTCCTTTCTGGGGTTCGTATATAGAATCCTATAAGTTAGCCTATAAGGTAATCCCAAAAAACAACTACTATGGGGCCTATGGGTAGGGCTTAGGGGTCAGCGTTCTGTTGGTGCTTATAGTTTATGACTCTTGTCGGGCTCAACGGCTTAACGTTCGGGCCTCGGGTTATGCTGAAGAAACCCAAATGCCCCACAGCAGTCCCAGGTCAATGGGGCAAGCTAACCCGAAAAAGCAGACGGCTCGCCACTGCTGCCTTGATTTCGCTAAACCCTACACCCTGAACCCTAGAGCCGGCTCGAGCCCTAAACCCTTCTAAATCCTAAACCCTGAACCCCTTGTTGAATCCTTACAGAGACTCACAAACTCCGGTCATCAAGGAATCTTCGGTCAAGTGATTCGGGTTTAGGTCTGCCTCGCAAAGTTAACGCGCAGCGAACCAACGACCAAATCCCGAGTGCCTAAACCCGAGCCAAGCAAACTGGGTCCATATAAACCCTAAACCCTAAATCCGAAACCCTAAACCCCATTACCCGGATTTTAACCTTTTGACCGGGCATCGGAGCAAGCCGCAGCAGCGATGCCGTTGAACAAGGCCTCATCGGCCTGGGGTTCGAGCTGTCTATTTCCCAAGGAGACTCATCATAGTTAGGGGTTTCGGCTCTCACACTCGGACAATCCAGGCGAGTTAGGGGTTTAGGGTTTAGGGTTTAGGATTTAGGGCGTCGGGTTTGACCAAGTTTGGTAGTAGTCCGCGCGGCTTTATGGGGGTCAAACGTCGCTCGGCATTAATCACAACAGACCTTAGGGTTCAGAGTTTTAGTTTATAGGGTTGGCAGGTTTAGTTTAGGGTTTGGGTAGGGTTTAAGGTTGCTGACATGGTGGTGCTTTTGGGTTTGGGGTCTGGGGTCAGAGTTTTTGACGCTTTACGGTCTGGGAGACCCGAAAACTCAAATGGCTCTCCGTCTTGCTAAGCTACCAGGGAACCCGACTACGTTTGCAAGCATAGTCCTCGGTCATAACTACAATACTACAATGCAAAGGTTGAATAGCATGGACGGGGGCGTCTTAATAACAACTCAGTAGGATTTTGAGGTATATCAGAAAAAATAGCAAGGAACCCTCATGAAGAGTATTGGTAACTAATCATTCAGGCTTCTATGTTCAATCCTATGCCCTAAGCCCGTGTAAAGTCAAAGGCTATGGGAGCCTGAAGCTATTCCCCCCATGCAAATACACACACACACAACCAACCATAAACCTGGGTGAGTTCTCCAATTGAAGTCTGTGTTGGCATCCTAAAAGGTACTATATACTATAGTAACCGAAACCCTACTAAACCCTCTGGTTCGTAGTAGGGAACGGCGGAATGCTATGATGGCCCCCGAGGAACCTTATATCATTCCCTATAACCCAGTCGCCCACCATTAAGAACCAGGGAGTTATGTACTGCAGAAAGAATCCTCATGGGACACCAATTCAAATAACCTCGCACTGGCAAGAACGGCAGATTTCTGGCTTCTGTCAGAAGTGCTGGCTTCAATTCAGGTTTTCGGGTTTGAAGTTTAGGGCTGCAGGCGTTTGCAAGAAAGATATTGAAGCTTCAAGCAGTACCCTAAACCCTAAACAAAGAGCAGGAGACATCGCCTATATTGAAAGAGGCCGCAGGGTCCAAGTGTAAGGGGCCCTGATGTCTGACGCAGATCTCGAAATCCTCCATCTTGATAACAGCGCATGATTGTTCCCCAGATGTCCTGAACCCCAAACTACGCAGCCTCGACGCTAAAGATCTCAACCCCACGACCCCGAAGCAAGATGATCTCAACTCCGAGCTGAAGGGCGCAACCCTACATTTGAAAAATAACAGATCCCCTAACTCTAAGCAACCTAGGCCCAAATCCTAAACCCAATATATGCGCCGAGGCATGCGGTAGAGTCGGCTAGAGACTCTGAACCCAAGAGGCCCGACTCAAAACTCAAACATTGCACCGATATCTTCAACACCGCAAACCCTGCACCCAAAAGCCTCACAAGCCCTTGAAGTCCTGGACCCCTCTTTCAAAGCCTGCAACCTCTCAACTCCTACTGGTTAATCCCCCTCCAAACCCTAAGCCCCAAACCCCGAATCCCATGCGAAACCTAAACCCCAAACTCCTAAACCCTTAACCCTTAAACCCAGACCCCTCCACTCCGGTGAACTAACCTCGCGGTCCGCCACCACGCCCGCCAGGCGCTTCCAGGCCTACCAAGGCTAGGCGTCAATCGCCCTGGTTTAATAACCAATGGAGGAATGGATCCCTATGATAGTCCCCCACCCTTCCCCCATTCTCTGCTAAGAACCGGGGGGTAGTTTTCGGGTTGCTTTCAGGGCTACCTTATTTTGGGGTTCAGGTGCTTGTCATCTCGCTGGATGCCTTTAAGTATTCCATTACGAACTGTATTCGAATTATTTCTTGGTCGGCCCTTTTTGGAGGGGAGGGGGCACAAGCAGTCAGAATGAGGGCCCATGAGGGTTTGTCGGGGTCGGGATTCAGGGCTTAAGGTCTTGGGTTGTTTGTGGCAGAACTACGGCCCGTCCCCGGACCGCCACCCCTAAACGCCTAAGCCGTGAATTCCGAATCCAAAAACATGCCCATCTCTTCGAGAGGCGGATGCCGAAACCTTGATCCGCCTAGGGCCGAGGCAACACACTGCCCAGGTACGGCCCTAAACCCTAAACCCGAAAGCCCAAACCCTAAGCCCTAAACCCCAGGTATGGGATCTTCGTCTCAGGCTGCGGAGGGGTTCCCTTATTTTGTTTCAGGCTGTGCGGCTAAGGGGGAAGATGTTCCCCCCTTCGGGTCGCAGGGGCCCCTTGTCGCGGTGAGAGAAAGGTTGCTGACATGTTCATCATTTCTGCAGGCTTGCTAACAATCAGAATGTCTACGAGGGGAGTGTGGGACGGCCTATCGGTAAGTGCGTCTGGCAGGGAGCGGTTCATGGGGCTAATGATAGCAAGAAGCGGGGGTGGGGGAATTGTCGCGTGCTGCTCCTGCCTTGTGGCGACCAGTGCACTGAGACCACTCGGAATCCGCACCAAATCCCAAACGCTTAAGCACCTGATGCCCTGTTCGGACACTGCGACCCTACAGAACCCGACGGAACCCTAAACCCTAAACCCGAAAGACCCCCAAGCCTCTAAAGCCACATCCCAAAGGGGGGTCCACTTTCCTAAATAGTAGGTTATTGACCAGAGGTTATATACCCCCCAAGTATACAACCCATCATTTAGGTCTACTACGGGACCCGGACCTGCGTAAACCAGTAACCCATAATTTAAGGCTCTTTAGGCAATTCTGACATCCCTACAAACACAGCCTAAAAACCCCCGCATGGCACCTTGTCCTTGGACTCTCCGTTCGCCGCAGTCTGCCAAGCCCACATCGCCTGGGTGACCTGAGAGCACTGCAAAGATTAGAACCTGACCTTGTGGATTTTTGGGGTGTTTTAGGGTTTTGGGGTTCAGGAGTTTTAACCTGACCTTGTGGATTACATGGGGTGTTTCAGTGCTCAGGGTTCAGGGGTGTACCTGTAGATTTTTGCGATTATTGATTGCTTGGTTGCCCACATTGGAAAAATTAGTCCATAGACTTGTCCCTGCGACCTAGACCTAAACCCTAACTTCAGTGTTTTTTGTGTTCTTCCGCTGAAACGTCAACATAAAAGCGAACTTAACAGTTGAATTGGCTCATCTGCCAGAAAAGTGCACTAGTTGTTCAGGCTTCGATTCCTCTACTATGTTGGAAGAAAGAGCTCTATGGTCATATGTATGTGTTATGTGCATATATATATATATATTTATTTATTTATTTATACATATATATATATATATGACAACAAGCGCTTTCATCCACATAGCATAGATCCCTGAAAGGCGGACTTTTCCAACTGCTTTCGCTTCGGTGGCGTTTCCGCGATTTGACTCTATCGGAGTCCGATCGGTTTTCATCGATATAGACCTTCATTTCTTACAGAAATGGTCTATCGATGTATCGGAGGACCAATCGGTGAAAGCATAAAGTTGTCACTTCGCACAAGTGTGCTACACATACACAAACATAATAATTCATATCTTATTAACAGATATCTTAAGCTATATGTATATGTGTACCTATGTCTCTATAAAGAGGGTTTCGGGGGGGCTTTAAGGCTTAACTTTGTTTGGCTCTCACACTCGCACAGGGCAGGCAATGCTTTTATTAGGGTTTAGGGTTTAAGAATGTTTAAGACTAAGGGTTTCGGGGTTGGGGGGTTTGGAGTTTGGAGTTCAGGGCTTGGGTTTCGGGTGTGGGGCTCTGGTTGAACTGAGCCTTCTTGCAGCCGTAGGTATTAAGGCTTAGGGCTTAGGGCCCGAACCCCACGCAGCCGTAGGTACAGATCCCTTTTCTGTAGGGTAAAACCCCTAAACTCGTAATCAGTCAGCTGGAGGAGAAGGTAAGCTCTCCCTTGCCCCAGAAGCTCAAGAACCTGAAGTACATGGGGGACGTTCAGATTTTGAAGGGTGGTTTGTGGGGTATTGTCATATAGATTAACAGATAAAACAGTAGTAAAATCAAGATCCTCTGTTTTACTAGCAACCGAATAACTGACAGATAACGTCGAAGGTGTGGAAGACCGTCACTCTGTATTGGGAGGTTCATGGGACTTAGTAAGCAGGATTACAAGCTAAGACTTAGCTAGAAGGTGCTACGCTGATATAACTGCAGCTACCTCGAAGTAAGGCTTCGGGTTTCGGGTATCTGTGTCGAGTGGCGTAGACATCGCGTGCATCCACAGCACCATGGGCGGCGTCCAGGGGGCTGAAGGAGAGGCGACCTCCACTTAAGGGAGTGAGTCCTTAAGGGTTCCTTTTAAGAAATCTTTCAAAAAACTCTCTGTACTTAATATTATGCTCTGTGTAAGGCTTCGGAAACTGAAGCTGAGGGCTTAGGGCTATTCAATGTAGGTGTCTAGGGCTTGGGGCTTCGGGCTTTGAGGGCTTCAGATTTCAGCCTTCGCACTTGGTATTTGAAGTTGGGGGGGTCGGCGGGTGCAAAGGATTTGCGACAGGGGTGGTCGCGTGAGAACTCAAACCAAAGGAATGCGCACGAAGTTTCGACGAGCCATTTTGTCTATGCAAATGGCGAGACGCGGATGGCAATTCAGCAAGCGAGGCCGAGGGTATGGGTTGAAGGTTCTCAGGACTGAGGTTCGCTGGTTTCCGTTCTTGAACATGTGTCTGAGAAGCTTGCTCGCTCTTCCTGGCATAACAAGTCTTGCACATTTACACTCCGACAATCTGGCATCCCCCCAACCAGACGGGCATACAGCAGTACTGAACCTAGCACTAGAGTGACACAAGCACAACTCATCAAGGAAAAGCAATGCTCGCCACTCCCACCTGTGGTCTCAACGCTTCCGATGGTGTCATCCACGAAGGACTTGTCACCGAAGCCTTCAATATTGCAGTGTGCTCAGGAGACTCTCTCTGCCCCTGAAAGCCGGCCTCCACCCACACTGAACCCTAAACCGCAAAGAAACAAAGAATACACCGCTACAGCCTTATGAACAGAACCCTTAGCCTCCCTTCTAAAGACCAGGCCCTAAACCCCAATGTTCACTTAATTTAAAAGAAAAAAGGAACATCAAAAAGGTGGACCTTCCTTTACTCCTGGAAAAACCAGATTTTTGAAACACCCTCCACCCTCGATTCAGCACACCCTCACCCCCAACTTCTAATCCCTAAGCCCCGAACACCTATGCATTGAAGGAACCCTTAGAGGCACCTTAAAGAAGAAAGGCAGAACCCTGGCTCTAAATAACAAAGCCGACTTAGCTTGCTCACTTTGCCAAGGGTCTGCAAACGTGGCTCTTGTTGGTCAGCTTTGTCACCTGCCGTAGAAACATCCCTCTATAGGCCTTTGAAACTGCTGTTTTGTGACTCGTGGATACCGGGCAATTTAGAGGCCGTAACACTTATCGGAGTAGGGTTCGGGGATTTAGGGTTTAGGGATTATCATAGGGAGTAAAAGGGGATGTTAGTAGCTGAGGGATCCAGTTGTGGGCTACGAATTAGGGCTGGCGTGTGAGAACCCTGTACCCGAAATGCGGTATCATCCAAGCCCTAATCCCCAACCCCTACATCCTAAACCAAATCCCTAAACCCTAAATCCTTAGCCTAACCCTTACACCCTACATCCTAAACCAAGAACCTCAAGGGTTTTAATGGGTTTAGGGCTTACAAGCTGCACACTGAAAGCCTCAACCCTGATACCTGGAAGCCCTACTATAGGGGCCTTAACAATTAGAATAGGGGTTTGGAGCCCACTATGCTATAAGTAGTTATAACAAGGAACCCCAACATAGTATTGGTAAATATTTAGGCCCCTACACCCCTCACTCCCGAACCTCTGAACTCGAAAGCCTAGAGGACAGTCTCTACCTAGACCCTGAGGAACCTGCCTTTTTTAGGACTGAAATAAGGACATCAAAATAATGACACCTAAACCGGTAGGTCCTTTAGGGTCCAGGTAAGGGTCCAAGTAGTCCTCACCTAATCATGTTTTTTGATACCCAAGTCGGCCCCAAAGTCCTATAATAGGGAGTACTTGGACCGTTAGGGACATACACCCCACTACCTACGACGGCTATAGTCACGCTCGTCTGCCTAAGCCTCAACCACAACACCGCGACCGCAAAGCGTGGCTGAAGACCCCACAAAAAGCATCCCAAACTCTGAGTCCTTCACCCTAAGGCGTTTAGGGTTTAGGGTTTTAAACACCAAACCCTCATGACATCAACACCCATGAATTCTACAGGCCAAACTCCAAAACCCTGCACCCGAAATTACCCAGCCTAATCCTTTGAGCCTTCTAGGCACCGAAAGACCCTTTACCTAAACCGTGTGACCAAAGTCCCTGAACCTGCCACGGCCCCGAGTTTAGGGCTTAGGCATAGAATGTTGCGCAGCTTTCAACTTTCATGGGTTGGGGTATGGTGTACAGGATTGAGCACAGGGTCTGGTCCACATAGGCGGAAGCCATGAATGGACGAAGCTAGGCGGCCAGGTTTAGAGCTGCCGTCTGCTATGCACAGTCAAAAGAGATAATTAGATGAGTAAAACTCGTTATATCTGGATGAAGCTATGGATGACAAAATTATGATGACTCGAAACGCAATAACAGGATACTCAAGTTCGGATGATGACTCGAAACTCGATAATAGGATACTCAAGTTCGGACCCGTGCAGGCAAGCTCCGTCTTTACAAGTAGTACCAGTCCCTCAAATCCACCCAAAGTTTGCCTTAAGTCCGTAATCGAAATGTCCTCGGCAAAGCAGTCATAAGCTTCTAGCACCTGAATCACCTGAACCCTGAACTTTGCAATGCCGGACACCGTTGCACCTTGGCGATCTGACTACGGAAGGTCTCGGAAGAGAACTTGCCGAGATCGTCGTCCTGGTGCTGTGCAGTCAAAACTCAAATCATAAACGTCCATCTTATATTAAACAGATGGTTCATATGATCTTACATAACCCAAATCTACTGAATCTTCTGCTTTCAAGCTTGAGGCGATCGGGTTGTGAAGTTTGTTGGTGATTTTCCGGGACGCGCAACTCGCTGTGCTTTCCAGCTCCTGTCGTGGGACAACAAGCCATGTACAGCCCCAGAAGACAACCAAAGACATCCCTTGTTTTTATGCACCACAACAGGTTGTAGACAGGGTGTCGAACGGGAAGGCAAGAGCATAAACCTGTGGGTTTTTGGCAGAGGTAGTATAAAAGATTGTATATCCGTCGCTGAAAATTGTAATC